AATAGACAAAGACTTTAGAATGTGTATATTTTTTTGTACAACTGGTTCAAAAAACTAGTATCCAGTGCCGTAAATCATTTCATTAAAAATAAAATATTTTTCGTATGCTAACAACTAATATTAATAATACCTCCGATACCTCCGATATGGATCAAACACATAATATGAATATGAATATTATTTAGGAGATGATTTTTTTTAATTTTGGATGCAATTGTAGTGGAAGTGTAGTTGAAGCACAAATGTTCAATTATAATTTTAAATAACTTTGATAATATTTTGGATTTCTTTTATTAAAATTAACTATTTTATATTATTTGTTACACTGTTTTACATCCACTGAGATGGTCTATTAAATTTATCTAAATATTTGTAACGCGATGAAGAAAACGTTTAACACTATATTGCTTATCAGCATTTAAAGACGAGTAGATTGAAAAGTGGTCGTATTACATCGATCATTTAAAACCAACAAAATTATGATGACTACAGCGAAAAATCGATAGTTTTCGAATATCGATACAAGTATAAAACTAATAACTATCGAATATTCAATAGTTACACTAAAGTATTCGATGAGTATTACAAATTCAATATAAATTGGATAGGCATCATTTTTCATTATGCGATTGGGAAAATTTTTGTTAAATTGTGTTAATTGGGATATTATAAAAAATATACGTGAAGACTAAAATTAGTGCCAGAAATAGATATTTTATTCGTGAACAGAAAGATATTTATTTATAACAAATCTATCTGTGTAGGGTATTGAAGCACCGTTAAGGCCAATGTTAATTTTTTTTCTTTATTTTTGTAAATACTTAAACTTTAATATTGTATTACATTCAAAATGTATCATTCTTATCCATTTTAAGCTAAAATATTTAGTTGCAATCGATTGCAAAAATCTTGGCGTGGCTCTCTGTTGAAACTGGTTTTCTCACAATAAGTAAAAGATTTAACTTTTTGACTTCATTTGTAGGTAGCGAACCACAAAACTAAATATTTTGGAAAGTATCAGATTCATATAAATGAGTTAACATTAAATACAAATAATTTTATGTTCACCTAACGAAGTAGTATAAGTCGCTTCAGATAATTTAGTACTACATAATAGAAAGGATATATACTTTTTTTTACTACAGACTGTGTAATAGTTTCTCCTCTACAAAATCAGATTTTAGAATAATATTATAAGTTTAGTGTAAGTTTAGTATGAGTTTAGTATAATAATTATAATATACATAATTAAATAAAATAAAGTGCTATGGTGTATTACGTTGTATTCTTACGTTTCAAATTAAATTTATAGTTTTTATATAATTTATTGGTTTTTAATTTTATGTATTCTCATTTCAAAAAGCTGACTGAAGTAAGTGGGGAAGTAACTGAAGAATTAAATAAGTCAACATATTTTTTTATGTTCAAATTCCACTTAACTTTCCATTTAGCTAATCTTAATAAAACATTCTTTGCCTCGTCGTTTCTCTATACCAGAGAAAAGAATAAGGCAAAACATTAAAGAAACTATAAAAAAGCAATTGATGATCAAAAGTTAATTTAAGATAAATGTTTTGCTGCTGTCGTTACTCATACGTATGTATAAATCAAGCACGTAAACTGATTTTATTTTATGTTTTGACTTTCTGATTATAAACGTTCAATCCCTTGGCATTGCAGTTGAAGTTATTACCGACAACATAAATATTTCACTGGCAACAGGTGCAAAAATTTTTAAAAGCCTGATTTACTCTTGGATGCTGTTGAGCAAATCGCTTGGGGCTATCAAGTTTACGCTCAAACAAAGAAGATTTGTAATTACAGCTATTGAGACTTGCATAAAGATAAGCCACATGTTGTACGTATCTTAATACAATTTGTAGTTGTCTGAAAAGCATATCAAATTATAGTATTACTCTTCTGGACTATCTTGACTGCAAGTTCATATCTGAAGGTCACTGGGAAGCAATTAGTTACCTCATTTGCACACTCTTCAAACAAAGCGCATTTCAAAGAAACTATAGAAATTTATTTCCTTGCTATGTGACTTCCTAATACTAAAACTAAATCATACGTTTGTTTCTCCAAGAATTTTCAAAAATTATCAAACTATACCCAAATACACGTATTTCTGTGAAAAAAACCCCGCACACAACTTCAACAGGTCATAATGCACTTTACACTTCCAACTGAGCAAATTTACTCTAAGTAACGGAAAAATTTTGAAGGCGACTGTACGGAGACGTTCTGCATGCTATATTTAAATAATAAAAATTGACTAACCTTCCGAAATGTACGTTACAAATTTTGTGCTATTGTTTACTTTAAACAAAACCATAGGATTGCTTTGGAAATAAGATGGATTTTTCCCGAACTTGACATTAATGGCAAGTATCTTTGGATTTTCCGCTTACAAACTATCGCACAATTGTATTGTTATTCTTTGAAAAAAAACCAAACATTTTATTTTCGTTTAAAGTAAAGGAACTCATCCCTTTTCATATTGTAGCGCAACGAATTTTTAATAATTAAGGGACCAAACTCGAGCTCAGACATGTCGAAACTTGTTTCCAATTGAGGAACAGGATTTTCTAAATGGGACTTGCTCTTTGCAGGTATTTTACCATCCTGACTTGTTAAACTGCTCCGGTTTGTTGTGTATTTTTGTTTTGTTTTTTTTTTTTGTTTTTGAGATACTTACTGTGATTACCTTTTGGTTATTTGCATAAAGATATTGGCTCACGCAATACGTATTGTGTAAATTCAGTAGAAAGTACAACGAAAGCAGTTTTGAAGAATGTCTTATCTTAAATTCTAAAAGGTCCAATAAATTAATATTTTTATTAAAAATTTAGTTTTTATTTTTATGATGCCTGTATGCTTTATATTAAATATTATAGTTACTAAGAATAAAAGCCACAAGATCATCTTTATTTACACTAGTTTGAGAATATTTCCGGAACACTGATCAAATTATATATATAATAATGTTTTTTTTATATATTATGTTGAGGCTAGTTGAGTCAGTGCACTTGAGCACTTTTGCTCTCTATTAACTGTGAGATTTCTTCATAACCCCTCTCTATGCCTTGACTGGATTCTTGTTTATCACTTCATCAGACTAAGCAATAATTGACGTCAGATCTGCATACCTTCCCGAAGAGCCTGATACTATTCTGAGATTCGATAACGTTATGTTGGTAAGCCTGTCAGGTTTCGAACAGTGTTCAAATAATAGCTTCAATAAAGAAAATAGTTTCTTTTCTCATAACTGACTTCAAAAATCAAATTAAATGTTTTTCATAATATATAAAAGACAATATTTATATTTCTAACTTTCAAATATTTTTTGCTATATCTATTTTGATTTACAAATATAAAAATATATATATTGGTATATAGTTATAAATATAGAAAGGAACCAAGATTTGTGATTACTAATAACTTACTAAAGATATATACATTTACAAAAAATGTCATAAATTTAATTAAACAGTAATTTCTTTAATTAGTGTAGTGATTTGAAATATATATATGCAATACACTAGCTCCAAACTTAGGCTTCTAATTACTAAACTAATTAGTACTAAATTATTACTAAAGCAATTAGAAAATTTGAACTCGATTATACAATTATTTTGCAATATATAGCTAATTTCAAGTTAATTTATTTACAAATATTTTTTCAAAATATATTATACCAGGGCTGTCCAAAGTGCGGTCCGTGGGCCACATGCAGCCCGCGACTTTTTTTAATCTATCACAGTTACGCAAATTTTCTTTTGATTTACAGGTAAAACTACATTGTTTTATTTTTATGGTATATCAAATATATGAATTTAAATTGATAAATTAATAAAACTATACTTAAAATTATAACTGTATGTTTATTTTTGTCGAAAACAACTATGAACGTAAGTACTTGTTCTTGCGGCCATCCAATCTATACAGTGATTTGTTTTGGTCCGCGATCGCATCTACTCTGGACGGCCCTATGTTATACGATGACTTATTTTGTATAACATAGAGTATATAGTGCTGCATTAAAAGAAACCCTTTAATCATCTTATACAAAGAAAGCGAACTCCCTTCCGTACTGTATAGGCATTTTCGTATATATTTAAATACATTTATTAAATAAGTATTAGTTTGTTAATATTACCATGATGTTCCAAATCAACAAATTTTATATAACTCAAATAAAAAAAATATTTTGTATATGTAAAATAAATGTTTTCAATATTTTACTGAGACTAAAACTAATTATATATTTTTAAATTTACGACGGAGTCGGATTTTATTATATTTTTTATATTGTACATTCTACTTTGTCGTTAACTTTCATATGCAATTTGACTAATACTTAAATATTATATTAGTTAATTATATAAATTATATTTAATATCTGTATATTAAAGTATATTATAATAGAGAGAAAATTCTTTAAGTATTTGAAATTAGCTAATACAAGAAAATTATTTCAATTTATTTGAAAGAGTCTAATATAATCAAATATCTTTATGCATCTTTTTAAAAAAAAATTAAAATAAAAAATTAGAATTAAAAATTTTTTAAATATTAAAAATCTTGCTTTATGGTTATTTCAATTTTTAACAAGAAAAAAAAATCCTTTGCCTCGTGCAGTAACACGTTTTGGCCATGATTCACACACGTGCAGCATAAAACTGCATTTATGTGCCACCGCTCGAGCTCAGATTTCAGAAAGAGTCTTTGTTGTGGATATCCACTGAGAGTACAAAGTATTTTTATGTTGTAAAAAAATTAACTACCACCGATACTGGAAAAGTCTTTAAAGATTTTGTGATTTTTTGAACTGAAGTTGGTTTTTATTTGAATTTTCAAACCACCTGCAGTAGAGCGCATTCTGATTGGCTATTGGATGTGAGCGCAGTGTATCTCAATGAGTATCTCAATCTACAGCAATGTTCAGGGAGAGAAATGATATAAAAACCAGAAACGCTCTTCATGGCACTACATTTACTACAAGTCAAGCAAAGCAGTAACACGCATATCATTCCAGATACATTAAATAAGAAAAGTTTTTGAAGTTTTCGAAACGAAATATAATCGAAAAATATAAAGAAAAAATGTTGTTTATAACACGCGAATACAAATTCCAAAACTCAGTCGCAGTGGACAAAATAGATCAACACACGACAGCCATGCGAAGTCTCAAAAAGCTAATTAAGCCATTGTTGCGGATCATCAAGAAGAAGCAGTTACTGAAAAAAACTTTAGCCGAAGTACAACAGCAGAATGCATACAATTCTTCACTGGAAGATATGCGAAAAGATCCAGTAGCCGCCAATGCAATTAATGACAATTTGGCTAACGAGGCGCTGGAGCAGCTCATCTATGATGAAATACGTCATTGCGGTGATAATGCTGCGGTAATAGTACAGCAAGGTCAAGATCAACATGTTCTACCTGTAGATCGAAAACAAGAATTTATACCGGTTCACTTCGCACGCACCTCAAATGGTACTTTCTTCTGGACATCAACGGACATTCAACGTCAACGGCAACAAGAGCTTGAACTGCGTCAGCACTTAGATCGTTGGGGGCAGGCTTAGATTCCGACATGACGTCTATAAAATATATTTCTCGCCAGCTTTAAATGCAAACTTAACAATTATATTCTGTTAATGAATATATTTTCGATTAATTTGCTGAACTACTACTATTTTAGTGATATTAGTGTTTATAAATAATTGATATTCAATTGTTATTATCTAGAAATGTTTGATTCCTAAAATTTGTGTCAAATTTGAAAGAATTTATTACAATTATTTTTGTACTTTTAATATTTTGTGATTTTAGTACATAACAAATTAGAATTAAGAAATTATATATAAATATCTATTATCATTGTCTTCCTAGGTTATTAAGTGATTTAGTTTTATATCATTGTCCTCCATGTAAAATATTTTATATTTAAGCTATTTTTTTAAGAATTAATTAATTAAAAAAATAAACAACATATGAAAAAAATACTTTTTGTTTTACTTTAAATATATCATTAAAAGGGAACTCTTATTTCTAAACAAAATACATCGAAAATTACTAATATAACTTGAAAGAATATAATATATATAAAATATAATATATAAAAATTAATAAACGCATAAAATTAAAATATATTGACTTATTCAGATATCATTGTTTGAATTTGAAAATTATTAAATGAAGTGGTAAAATAATTTAACAAAAATATATCTGTATTATAAATATTTTTAAAAATACAATAAAAAAATTACAATTTTTGTTTAGGCTACTGGGGTCTTATGACTGGAATGGAAATAAATTTAAATTTACTTCAATTTATCATCCGAAGTTTTATGGGCTTTTTTCCAACATCTTCAGGTGTATGATTTTTTATTATTTAATAATTATAAATTGAGAAAATTTATTTGCATCCCATTTACATCCCATAAGACCAGAGTAGCCTAAACAAGAATTATCATTTTTGTAGCCTAAACCTCATTCTTAATAGAATAATAAAATTTTAATGCAAATTAATAAATACAAATAATATATCAAAATCAAAAAACTTATTAACAACCAATTATTTAAAAAATATTTTAATAATAACGCTAAACTCTAGAAATTTACTTCCATACTTTTTTTATATTATTAAAAATTCATATATACTACGTTATAGAAATATTATTATAATAATAACATAAATATAAGAACAATTAGAAAATACTTATTTTAGTTTACTTGAAACTGAACTCAGAAAAACATTTATTTTTAAAAAAATAGTTCATACTTTTAATGTATTTCGATAAAACTAATGAAATGTAAAAACAGAATTATTCGCCTTATTATTTTAATTTTGCATACTAATTAAATAATTTATCATAGTTAATATTTTTTAAACGAAATAGTAAATACATTAGCCCTACATTGGAACCCCCAAGATGACATGGCGTAGAAGCATTATTAAGGAAACGTGTAAAACATTTAATGAGTTAAGATATATAGCTAGAAACCGATATCCTATGTAAAAGGACTAAGTTCTTAATTTATCCCTTTGTTGTAATACTAGAACATGCCAATAATAATAGTTTTTAATTATCATATAATAATTTTTTAAGTATCATACAACCAACAAAGTTCTTAAAAATGAATGTCACTGATTTAATGCAACTTTGATGGTACTTTTTAATTTGTTCAACAAAGCCAATTCTCCCTAACTTCGGCTTAATAAATAATTTACAATTTTAATACACTTAAAAAATTTATACAGCCTATATTAGACATACCACGTCATCTGATTAGACGTAAGTTTAATCAGACCATCAATACTATTATCAACTGAAATAAATTCTAAAACAAAAATTATAGGATTATTGAAATTGAATCTATGAGTGACAAGATCCGAAAACATAAAAAATACTAAATATCTGTAACATGAGCTGGTTCCTCTACATCACATTATTAAATGTAACAAATTAAATTATTTAATTTGGAAAAATGCAAATAAAGACAGTGTAATTTAAAATATATAAGTTTAAGTTAATTAATCTAAAACAAAATACATATAAGAAACAAAAAATGTAGAATATAAAAACAACAGAAAATAAACACACTTAAAAAATTGTTCACAAATTTATATTTTAAAATAAATATATTTATATCTCATATATTTATAAATATATTAACTATATAAATAAATTATATATATTTTATATATATATTTTATTTATATTATATATATATAAATATTTCAAATATATTAACATATATTAAATTCAAACCATTTAATCAATTAAAGACGAGATCTTAAAAATTAATAAAACATCATATAATAAACATAATAAATATATATAAAAATTCATACATCTATTTTAAAATCAGTTCTCAACATTATCTAATTAAGTAATTATATTAGACATTGAAAATATCTGCATAAAATTATTGCAAATTTAATTCTTCCATACAAACCTTAATAAAAATGCAAAAAATATTCTATTTAACCGTTGCATTTAGATAAAATTTTATTATAATTATTCTGCCAAGATATTGAAATGTTAGACAAGAGTGAAATGTATGGACGAAATGTTAAATATTACAGCATAAAACCATGTTCAAGTCTTGATTCAAAATAAAATTTTATTTAATTATTAAAGTTAAATAAAAACTGTGTGTTTGATTTTAATCTTTTAAAGGTTAAAATTTAATATAAAAAATAAACTAATAACTCTTTAAACTTTGATATTTACATGAATGATTTCATGCGCATTCACACATACATACATTACAACAACTAAACAGCAGACCATATATAAATTATATAGTAATAAATTAGTCTTATACTTAATGCCATCATAAAACATTTTCAAAGTTTAAATATTTTTAAGTTTGAATAATTACAATAATTAGAATATTATAAAAATATCGGAATAAAAAATTTTACTCACATAATTTTAAAATTTTCAAAATATTATTAATTTTAAAATATTAAGCAATTTTATTTTATCAAATGTTTTATTTATTTTAAATTTCAATAGATTAAACAAATTTCAATTAATATCAAAATAATTTAAAATATTTATTTTAATATAATTTAAAAATTAAAAGAACCTGAAAGTGAACGTAAAACAAACACATATAACCAATTAAGGATAGTACCACACACAATATTTATAATAATATTTTAAACTAAATAATTTTTTAAGAATCAATTTTGAACGATTTTGATATACGTGGGGTATTTGAAAAGTTTTACCTCAGAACATCAAGCAATTTATCACAGCAAAAATATTTATTATTTCAATATATAAAATTGAATAGTGCTTTAAAAAGCAACCCTATAATTAGCAATTGTTTTTAATATCAGTAATATATTTATTAACTCTCCAATTTTTAGGATTTGAGGGAAAAAGAGTGTTGTACTTGGTAAATTTTTGTACTTAGAATATAATATGCCATTGCCAATGAAATCTTAATCACATTAAATATTCATAACGCTAGAATCTAAGTAGCTTGAAGGGAAGGAGTACTTATGACACATAATTGCTTGTACATATATACAATTCATATTATTTTTGTGTCTATAATAAACTTTTATTTTATAAATAATTTATACATAAAATTCAAAAATATTTACTAAAAAACATATTAAAAAAATAAAAATATATAATATTGTTTACTTTAATATTAAGACAAATTAAATCAAAAACGTTATAAAAGTAGTAAGCACTTAAAATTTTAAAAATCAAGATGTATAAAACGGCGACCTGATAGTATATTAAAAACGAGATAGTAGCGCTAAAATCGGGACGTCTGACCGCTATAATGTAAAGCTATCATTAAAAACGTTGTCATTTTTACTGAATTAATGATAAGAGTTATGGGTGACCAAAAGTTGTCGGCATATAATTATGTGATCATCGTATTAAATTATCATCAAATTAAAATTTAAAAACTTCCTAAGTTTGTAGAAAACATGGGAAATTAGTGACGTTTTCAAATTAGTGACGTTTTCTGATATATTTAGGAATCTATGACTATAAACAGGATGTGAATTCTTTTACTACATTCTGAAGATCATATGTATTACTGACAAAGTTATAAATTTTAATTACTATAAAACATCTCTAATTACAAAGCAATAATGTTTTGTTTCACTTAGGCAATGCACCGGCTTACGCTTTGACAGTCATAACGACTATTATCAGACTTAGACGGAAGTAAAATTTTTTGCTTCTGAAGGATAAAGTTCTACTCATATTATAAGATCTTTTAAAGTTTTTGTCATATTGCACAATATGGATGAGTTAAGAAATATGGAATATATTACTTATAAGTATTTCAAGTTAAGAAAAGATAATGTTAGAAAATATATTACAACAAGAAATGACAAAACATTGTTTTGTATGTTGGGCGAAAAATTTTTCAAATACCCCTCGTACGCTTAATACATAAATTGACATAATAATGGTTATTTGTGTATATTTATATTTATTTTATTTATATTTATATTTATTGTTTTGTATATACAGTTTATAAAATCCAGTAAAACTCAATTAAAAGCCTTAATTCTTACTCTCCAAATAATATATTTGAAGAAACTTAGAAAATTATAGTAGAACATTCAATGGTTTTAATCAAAAAGAATATGTTATTTTATTTGAATACTTACTCCGAATCTATTTTTAAGTATATACAATGAAATAAATTATTTCATTGATAACTATCTATACCATAATGTGCACTCGGAATGTGTATGTGGGTCATATGTGCAACATGCAACGACCAGTGACTCTTGAATTTTTACAATCTAAACATTATAATTTTATTTCGTCTCATAGGAGCATGGGTATAATATTATGTACATATGTTAATAGTATGTTAACATAAACATGAGTGAAATGAAAATGGAATAAAATTTCAAATATTGCCAAAAATACGTACCACAGATTTCCTTTAAATCTTAATTCATGAAAATTGTATATTAGTTGAGTATAGAATCACTAATGAAATCAGTGACATTGGAAATGGTCAATTACTTGTATGTTACAGGGTAGAACTATGCGGGCGATTTGGTACTAAACATTTGTTTAGAGATCATTCGAGGGTTTCTTGAGTAATTTCAAAAATTGATTATATAATTATAACCCACATAAATTGAAATAAATTATATTGTGCTCATTCCTGAAGACAGAGTTCTATTATTTTTTTTTTATTTGTTATACATCTAAATAACCTAATAGAGAACAACAAATTTAAGAAAAGCGGGATATAGAATACATATTCTTATTTGTATATTATTACAAAATTTTAGCATATCCCCGCATATCGAATTTATTTTAATAATTTTAATAAAAATTTATGAAAAGACAACAACATCAATCAAACTAAATAAACAAAGAGAAATAAATTTCAAAATAACAACAACAAATTGATTGAATACATTGTAGATAACAAGCAAAGATATCAAGTCATACCTCATAAAAATATCCTGCAAATAA